TAACACAAATTGCCATTAAGTTCACTAATAATATTTCCTCACAAGTTAGTCCCTAACTCACACTTAAATATTCTAGAAAATTTTGGGGTATCACATTCACCCCTTCTAAAAAGGAGTTTTGTCCCCAAAACTCAAATTGAGGACCATCTAGACTGGTGAATGGCTTCACCTAATCCAAGACAAAACAGATGTTCCACCAACTTTCCATGATCAGAACTTAGCCTATTACACTTCCGCTACGCCACTCTGATATCAAACTAAAACTAATCCTAAAAATAGAACATTAACTACTTAACAGGGTTTACCATGAACAAGCTACTAGAGGCTGAGGTAATACAGAAAGCACAAGAAATAAAAATAAATCCTGCCAAAGCCACAAAAGAACAATTGTGGGGTTACGCTATGAACCCAATACAAGACGAGTTAGCAAAGAATGGCATGGATTTAAAGACGAGTACAACAAAACTTTGAACTTTATTAAAGATGGATAAGCATCCAATGGATATATGGATTATGAATGAGTGAACAAGTGCATGGATGCCTTATGAATTCTGCCACAACAAGGTTAACCAGAACCAAGATCATGTTTAACAAAGCAACTGGAATCACGAGACAGATTTTAGCAATTAACAAGAGTTAAAAGCTAGACCCATCAAATGACATGTAAAATTTCCAAAATAGCATCATAATGAAATCAGTGGAAAATATGAATGCTTGGAAGGATACTAGAACATAAGAGTGCAAGGTAGAATGGCTCAAAAATTCAACAACAAAACGGCATTCACCAAGAATCAAGATCAAATTTAACCAAGCAGTCAAAATTAAGAGACAAGAGTTAACCATGAAACAAGCAATAGAATTCAATGATTAGGCCCATAAAGAGATTTCAATAATGACAACCAGAACATGAATTCAAAAGCAGATATAACCAAGATGTCAAGGTCTAGCACCCCAAGTAATACGAATTAATTAACAGAAGAATCAATAATGGGGATCAGGATACTTAGAAGATTACTGTCTTCTAATTAAAAGGGCAAACAAAAATCAAAGCAACCAGATAAAAGAACCATTTCTCTTGGAACAAAACTCTAGGGCATCAAGTACTTCAAAGACAACCCCTTCACCTCGTAGCCCATGGAGGCTAAGCAGATTTACAATCAAGTCATCCTAGACATCCTAGAGTCAAGTCAAAGCTAAGACATCAAGGATACAAAGATTAACACTCGCAAAAGACAAGAATTATGATGTCTTATATAGGTATTTTCTAATAATCATCACCCCTCCTAAAGAGGTGTCCATATGAACAAAACCAAAAATCAAGAAGATCAACAAGTATACTAAAATAAGAACTAACAGAATATGCAGGATTTGAGCAAGAGCAGTATACAGAATTTGAGTAAGAGCAAGAGTCAGGTCAAGAATGGTTTTCAATGACAATTCAAAATAGATTCCAAGAATAATGCAAGAATTAATTTCAAACAAGAATCAAGATAATGAGGATTTCAATAATCATTATCCATTTCCTTTGGATTTCAGTTTCAAGAACAAGTACAAAGCAATCTCAAGAAAGATTCAAGATGGATTTCAAGAGTTTTAAGCAGTTTCCAAGTATCAAGAATGTAGAGATTAGCAACAATAGAGAGAGTTTAACTTTATGACAGCTTGCCAATCTTCACAAAAACATGGCAATTTCAATTGAATTGATCACTGTTTTTGATTAACCAATATAGAAAAATGAGCCACATGAAAAGACCATAAAGCTCCAAAAGGAAAAAGTGAATTTCACTACAAGACTTTCATAAAGATAATGAGTAGTGAAATTACCAAGTTATCCAACTCCTAAAACGCATCTAGAAAACACACAACATTTGCTAAAATAGCCTTGAATCTCTTACAAAGTAGAGGGTTGCCCATCTTCCACTAGTCATATGACAAACAGAACAAATTCTCAACCAGCTATGTTGTAGAGACCAATAGGATCAATAAAAAAAAATCTCTACAACTCCCTAGATTTTACGATTGTGGCAAAAGAGCATACAAAAATTCTATTCATGTAACAAGTCTAAACAAGTCCAAATTATCAGAAAATGACCAAGTTTCAAAACAAGGTCTTAAGAACATGGCGGACAAGATTAATATCTTGAATCTACACAGGGTAGGAAGGCAAGAAACAAGAACAATTAGATTACCATCTCATCAAAATGGATTAGAAAATTCAGACAACACGAATCAGAATCGTCCCTTATATAACCTCATCACTCGTCTCACCACGATTCTAAAATCCATTGGCCAGCCAAGTTCCAAACAAATCCTAGGTATTCAATTAAACCTAGGTATTTACCACTCAATCTTGAGGTGCTTAATTTAATCCTAAGCTCTTAATTTAAACTTAAGCTCCCATACCACTAAATCTCCAGATATCTAATTTAACCTAAGCTTTGATACCACAAAATCTCTAGATATCTAATTTAACCTAAGCTCTGATACCACAAAATCTGTCATGCCTCAGAACCCAAATCCAGAGACGTGGCAGACGCCGTGCACTCGTGAGAGAGTCTCACAAATGCACAAGGCTGTGAACTTATCCAATTTACATATGACAATCCAATAACTTAAATTAGATATTTCAATTTATTTCTATATCCAAAATGATTTAAATCCAAGTAATTGATTTAATGACCAAAATCTATTTTGATCTCATAAATTCAAGGTAAAATCTATCTTACAAAAACATGATTTATTTCTAAAATCTATATCAATCTTGGAATGGCTAGCCTTCTAACTCGTCACTTCCCATGGTTTCCCCGTCCTGGGTTTCGCTTCCTGAAATGGTGGACAAGGAAAAGCTATGAGATAAACTCAGTAAGTAAATATGGATAGCCCTTAATTAAACTTATAGCATGCCAACCAGTGTAATCACAAAAAACAGGTACAAGTACGGAAACGAAATAGACGTCTTCTCCATAGGTCATGGCCAGTGTTATAAACCTCCCACTAGTAGGCACACGATTTACTAGTGTATAATCCCACTAGCAGGATAATAGAAACGAACCAGTTCTATCAGTAACATGTTGACATGTGCTAGCATTTATAAACCTCCCACTAGCAGGCACATGAATAACATGACCATATTGGAGACAAAACAAGTAGAAGTTAACAGAAAAACCATAATTCACCAATCACTTTCAAATCATTAGGACAATCAATTAAATTTCAAGTAGGCATGCTCAATTTAATGAAAAGCATAAAAATTTCACTTCAAATCAATCATACTTACTTTTGCATAAAACGGGTTTATTCCCCCCACCACTTCAAAAACAAGTCAAAACATGCTTTTAAAAACTATACGAGCATTACCATAAATTTATTTACCTCACTTGCATAAAACCGAAGACTCGATCTTAGTGCTAAACTGACAGAATTATAAGGAACCTAATCAAAATATCCAAGAATTAATTACGGTACCACAAATTCAAAAGTAAAATCACCATGGCTACCCCTAATCACGATGCTATTCCTATCAATCTCCCATGATCAAATATCTCCAAATTTGTTCATATATTACAAACTAAACATTTAAATCTCCATTAATGGTTGGTCATTACACATGAATAGTACCGTGAACAGTACTGTGAACAATGCTCGCGCCGTGAACAGTACTGCAACTTCCAAAAATTGGCCAAAACACTAGCTAATTCACGGGATTTTCTCTCCAAAAATCACAGCAGTCAATTAATTAATTTTCTACATGAATTAAGAAACAAAACACACTTAAAATGCTCTTAATTGCTACCGGAATTCCTCCCATTTTTCCAGCAAAATTCAGACACACAAGGCAGCAAATAAATGGACAAATTCAAGGCTTGGAAGGGCTGTCAACATACCAGAATTTGCAAGCAAGGAAACAGAAGCTACAGTTTAGGGAGGAGGCCGGCGGGATCTGCAGGGAAACTCACGGAAATCTACCCAAAAATTGAAGGAAATAAAAGCAATTAAAGTAAACCCAGCCTAAATCAAGGTTAAAGAGATGATTTCTTGGCTGAATCTTACCAAAAACCAAAGCAATTCGCCCCCACAAAGCAGGAGCAGCCGGACGGTGAGGACAGAGTAGAGCAGATCTGGAATTCTGCAGATGGGGGGGAAGGATTTCTGGGTTCTATGCTTGTTATTTAACAAGAGAAGAAGGAGAAATTTCAAGCTTTCTACCGGGTTTTTGGGATGGCTGTCGGCTTGCTTGGTTCCCTTTTTTTTCTTTTTGTTTCGGCTGCAGCAGGGTCGGGAAGAGCAGAAGCACGCGGGCTGAAGAAGAAAGGAAGAAGAAGAAAAGAAATAAGCCATCCTTATCCAAATTTTCCTCCTTTAAATCCCTTGAATTTAACACAAATTGCCATTAAGTTCACTAATAATATTTCCTCACAAGTTAGTCCCTAACTCACACTTAAATATTCTAGAAAATTTTGGGGTATCACACATTCTAAATCTGCACTTCACATATTCAACTTCATGTTATAGCTCTGCAATTTACTAAAAACCTATGTTCTTCAAAACAAGAGGCATTACTATGTAGCAATATGCCTCCCTAACTCCTTTTGGTGTAGTAGACATGCTTGATCTTTATAGTCTCTCAAACATTCCTCCAAATGTGTGGTAAACTTAAGATCTATATCAACTCTGATATTTGTTGTTATCTCAGGTTTCTTTGAGTCAAACATCACAAGTTTCATACAATCAATAGGTTCTATATGCTACTCCTTTAAACCTCCACTCATGTTTATCATGTTAATAGTTAATGTTTTTCTTCTTAAAATATCACCAACTTTGTGGATCTTTCTATCACCATTCTAACTCCTTTTGGTGTGGGAAATTTCATCATCACATGTTATGTCGAAACTATAGCTTACAAAGCATTTAAACCTGGTTTCCTTAAGATTGCATTAAAAAAGCATAACACATCGACATAACTTTTCCCAATAATCCTTCTTCATGGCGCATGTATTTCGCATCATTACACAAGATTTATATCCTCTGTGTTGTATGCAATTTAGTGCTCTTCTTGATCTTATAGCTATTGTTAAACCTGTGTGTTCTATAATTAAATTCCTATACTCATAGCTTTTTCGCCTATGTGGCCTTCTCCTAAAAGTTTCTCAAAAAAAGGTTAGTTTTCTTAGAAACACAATAACTTGTATAATTATTAATATTGAAAATTAGAAATTATTTAGAAAGGTAAATATACTTAGCTAGAATCGCAACTTTCTTTTAAGATCTGTGCATGTAGGATTTTAAGATGTCTATCTTGCCTTGCAAATGCAGAATTTTATGATGCTCTGTCTTCATTGTTCAGTATGGTTGAATGTGATTATAGCAAAGCTTCTTCAAATATGGATGTAATTGATTCTCCACCTTTTTTGATAAAGTGCTTGCTCTTCTATCTATCTAATCATTATAATGATGTCTAGGTTTTTGAATCACATTATAATTGAGTTATTGAATTGTGATATCTAGCACATTCCTGCAGATGGTAGATGTTTGCCTGTATGTCTTTTACAATCGTTAGGTACATTATGACTCTAAATCAAAAAGTCCTACATGCATTTACTCTTTTGCAACAGTAAATCGTCCATGCATTATATAATCTAAGATTTCCTCTTGCACAAGTTCACAATAGAAACAAGCTACATAGATTTTTCTACCTTGATGTCTTTATTACTTTAAAGACATGAGAGAATCGTTAGTGCTTTCAATATCATAATTGATTTTGAATTGATATATGAAAATATTTATTTAAATTTTGTAAAAGAGATATTAGACTTATCTGGTAAGTTGTTGATTCATTCCTACATCATAACTTTCTGTTGAATGATTTAGAGTTGTGTAACTAGCGATGCTTTAAGAATTCCAACGATTAACATGTGTTTTCTTCCATCGGTCTTGGGCTCCTCATAGGTTTTTCTTCAAGGAAAGATGGATCAAAAGTTGCACCACTCCCAGTGTCTAGGCATACATCAACAAATTCAAAGGTTTTTTTTACCAATGAACATAATCAAACATAGCTTTTAGACTGTCTTTGGTGATGTTTTCTTCTGATGGTTAAGGTCAAAAAAGATCTAATGATCAAAGGATCCTTGGTGATGTCTCTTTCTTTAGACCTCTGCTTGTGGCTTTTTTCTATAATTTTGATATTTTTTATAACTCCTATGCTTCTTTGATAGCAAATCTTTCCTTTGCTCAAATATATCCTTCTGTTTTTATTCAACAAAACATTAAAGCTGGTTGACTCACATTTATGTAGAGATTATAGAATCTAGAATCTTCCAGACCGTCTATCAAAGCATGCATCACAACTCTTGATCTAAATTTTTTATTTGCACTGCTTCATTGTGAAAATGAACTATTTGATAATGTTATGAACCAAGCCTACACAGCTTTCCTGGAAGCTGCGAGGAACCGTCTGTGCAAAAGAGTGTTAAAAGTTTCATAGACCATCATTGCCATTTTGAATACTTACACATGTTCCACCAGATCTTGTGTTCTATAGTGTTCTGCCAACTGCGAAGCTTTGAAGTTTGACAGCATAGGTTCTTTAATAACTTCATTAGCAAAAGCTTTTTCCACCAAAACTGTGTTTGTTGTCCCTAGATACCTCTATCGAATCGCCTTTATGTTTCCATAGATTGACACTACACATCTAGTGAAGGTGAAGGATAGCTGCAAATCTATATCAATAATAGGCTCCATTGGTGAATGTGCATAGCTTTGATCATCATAATCACTACTTTCTCGCATTAAATCTTGCATTTCCCAGAAAAGCTATAAGCCCACATAGTTGAAGGCGGTGAAATCCTCTATGACTCATCTATAATTTAAGAGCAAGATATTGTTTCTGATGCACTTGTCTTGAACTTGTATTGCGTTAAAATATTTACAACATCCATCAAAGAGGTCACAGCTTGCACAATTGCTCTTAAATTGTACCTTGTATCTACCATATCTTGCTCAAACCAAATAGAAAAGATGGTGTAGAACCAAGTACTTTATTGATCAAGAATGGAGAGAGTTTACAATAGAGAGAGAATGAAGAAAAATAATAAAAATAATCTCTTGGCCTAGGTTTAACATTGGGGTGTTTATAGGGTATTACATAGAATCACCTTATGATTACAATTCTACTGGGGTTTGTGTTTGGGTATTCTAGTTCTAGTGCAATTTAACCTATCTAATCTTCATAGGACTTTTTAAGATATCTCCACGTATTATAATTCTCATAAGACTCAATTAAGGGTATAATACACTGTTTCTTCGTATCTTTGTACTTTGTACTCTATTTTCACTTAACTCTTTCTTTATTTCATAATATTCAAAAGTCTTTCCTTCAAGCTCATTTCTTCAAATCATTTATAATTGAAAGTTGTCAATGATCCAAATTGTTTTCATAAAGAAAAGAAAAGAAATGTTAGTCACAGCAATTTAAGGCTAATTAAAATTTATACTTAAAAGTAAAATAGAAATATTTTATCAACATTAGGGGTCATATTATATAGGGTAGAGGTAATTTTTATTATTTTTATGCATTAGATAATGAACTATACAATATATTTTCATTCTTTTTTAACAAAAGCATTTAAATAGATATTGAAGAATACAAAATTAATTATTGTAAAATAAATGAGAAATAATTTAAAAGAATTCATTCAAGTATTATTTTTTTAAAAATTAGTATCTATCAACCGGATCTAAGAAAATCAAGCAAAAATTGCTCAAAACTATATGTTTTCAACAAAGAAACAATAAAACGACTAAAACAGTCTTCTATTTTAAAATTAAGTTATTTTAATTTTTCAATGAAAATTTATTAAAATAACATAATTTTAGAGTATTTTTATTTGATTGATAAACACTTTTTTCCTTTCTTTTAAAAAAATTATATTAATAGCTTACAGAATAAATAGATTGGGTAAGGATAGCGGAAATCATTACCCTTACCCAACAATTTATTGTATAAAATTTTTTATAACTTATTACCACTAAAAATCCCTAAACATTACAATCCCTCAATTTTTTAAAAAAGCCAACCATCATCCTTCCATGGATAAAAGTCTTAACACCATCAATCTCCTCGTTAACCTCATCCAACTTCGGTTAAATGCTCTGTTATCTACAATTTATGTTCTACATGGCAATTAAGGGTCCCAATGAAATAAAAATAATTGGAAAAAAAACCTTGCCTTAGTCCCTTTTATCTTCCCTAGACGAACCTTCCTAAAATTCACCATGTCTTGTACAAGTCAAACACTGGAGTAAGGAGTTGAGAGTACTACAAATCCAAGGGTTTCAAATCAGGGGATATTGAGGACATATATTGCTGTTGCCTTTAGGTTAGGTCTCTTGTAGTTTATTTTTAATGGTTATTTATAATTTCTTTTTTTTGGTGAATATGGTTCACTACTAGAAAAAGCTTTTTTATGGACAAAATATTTTGGACAAGAAAATATTATGATAAAAAAAAATTAATTCGGTCAAGCATTTTAACCGAAATATGCTTTAGTCCAAGTAAAAGTTATTAAACGTAATAATTTGGTCTAAATTATTTCGATCAAATATTTAATCTAAATTATATCAATAATAAATTAACAAGCATTTTGGTCACAAATTTTGACTCAATTAATTAAGTATTTTTTGTTTTAATTTAGTTATGTTTTTTGGTCAAAATTTTTTACCAAAATAACAATCTTTTTTTTTTAATTGTATTAGTATGGTGCTTTCTTTCCTAAATTTTTTTAGTTTTTGATGAAAACTATTTCGGATAAGATGCTTAACCGAAATTATATTGTTTGGTTCCAAGAATTAAGAAAAAATTCTTAAATTTTCAACCAAAATTATTTCAACCAAAATTCTTATCCAAAATTAGATGTTCTGGCTCCACAAATCAAGTGAAACATTTTGAATTTTCTACCAAAACTATTTTGATCAAAATTCTTGACTGAAATAGTTAATCACTCTATAAAAAAAAACTTCAAGTACTTTGTAATATCCCAAAATTTTTTAGGACCTTAAAATTTGAGTTAGGGATTTATATGGGAAAAAAATTTTATTGTTGGGCCTAATGATTAAAAATTCAATAGTCTAAGGGTGGGCTAAAAAATTTGGTATTTAATGGGGTTTAAGTCTAATTTTCTATTTCTTCCTTCTCCCTTCCTGCATATTCCTAGCCCCTCACTTGAAGAGCTGCAGCCTTAAGCCCTAGTTGCTTAACACCTCCTTACCATGAGAAAATAGGTAAGAAACTTAACTTTTCTTCCTCCTCCTAGCAAGATATAGAGATTAATAGGCTTTTAATTCTCAAAATCATAAGCAATATTTCATATTTGGGTTGCTGCACCTTCCAATCTACTAATCTTTTTTGGGTTGCTATTCATTACCAT